ATGGCTCTTAAGGTATTCGGGGTTGCGATGCCGGAGAAATACCTTGGACGCTGCTGTTGAGCATAGTCCCCCAATGTTCTTCTAGGTGGTACAACTTGTCTATCATTACTATGAATACCGTCCCCTTCTTCAGCCATTTGTGCTCCTTCCGATTGGTTAGAAGAAGATGAGGAAGGAGGTAACAAACAATTATGTTGTTGTCTTTGGAGCACCTCCAAGTGTCTGCGCCTTCTTGCGTCACTACGGTTCCTCCTTGCTGTCTTTTCAATTTCCAGATCAAAAATAAGCTCTTCGGCTAAAGTCTTTACTCGCATGCAAGTTCAACAACGCTACACAGATGGGTGAGTCCACAAACACACAACTATAAATGTATAAAATGTAATAACATGTACAACTATTCACAATATCTTAAAAGCGAAATCACTTAGTATGCCAAATCCCCGACAACGATGCCAGAAACTTGTTGTTATTTTCACTGATGGATTCAAATTACCCGACAAGTGTACCAAGTTTCGATGTAGTAAAGAGTTATTGTCCACATAGATTTGTGACTTAGTGATATTGCAGGCAAGATATAGTTATAATAAATGATTGAAAGTATGATTTGAGACAAACAACTAAAAATAAGCGCAATATTTAGTAAAACGAAAAGTGATTATAAATAAAGTAGATTGAATTACATGCACTTGCTTCCAGCCCTATTTCCCAACTATATAATTTCTGTTTTACAGTTTCACTCTTAGTAAATAACTTAGCCCGATTCCTCGAAACCAAGTCCTAGGGTGTTAACCTTGAACGTGATTCCTCAACAATTCAAACCCAACACTCTGTCTTATGAAAAGATCTTGAGATTAACGTGATTAATAAACACACTTCTATTCCTAGATAGGTTGTCTATTAAGCATTTGATCCATTTCTGGTTAATGAAAACATTTTCCAACACAATCAAAACCCTAAGATCTTAAATCGGTTGATCACTCCGAAGAAAACATTAAGAATAGAATCAAACACAAGTGTAGCAAACAAAAATCATATATATGGAGAAATGGTCTGAAAGTAGTTACATGCAATCCAACCCAAAGAGTTTTAGCCCCTCATGGAGGAACCCATTACAAAACAAGAGAAGAAGGAGAAGAAATTACAACAATAACTGATTGGATTCAAGTGGATATGCGTTCCCACGAGCTCCCATCGTCTTTTCTTCCTTTCTCCCCTATCTGACTATCCCTTCTTTTCTGTTCATTCATTTCTTAAATAGAAATTAGGTCTAAGAAGAGGAAAATCCGCTGGGCTCCGGGATGATGCGCTGGGCGGATTGAGCCCCGCGTGAACCACTATGTTCAAGAGAAATCCGCTGGGCGCAAGGTCTAGGCACTGGGCGGATTTGGTTTCAGCCAAAATCCGCTGGGCGCATTACATAGGCGCTGAGAGGATTTGAGAGCGCATACACCCTTCCTATTGCAAAAGATCCGTTGGGCGCAGCTCGTGTGCGCTGGGCTGATTTTTTTCTTCCAATATTTCTCTTTCTCTTCCTTCAAATCCTGAATCAAAGAACAACTTGGGATAATAGTTACTTGATAAAATCTTCTCATGATTTATGCTCTTTAAGGTTAAGATTACAGCAAAAAGATGCAAATTTTGTCTAATAAAGGTGAGTTTCTCAATGAAATTTATACTTAATTAGCTCCTTAATAGTATCATATGTGGTAGGTATGATAAAAGAGAACTTTGTTGTTATTTCACATGTCTCCACACTCTCACACTATACAAACCATTTTTTATATTGAAAGGAATGAAACACAATGTCATCATAAGAAAATAATACTAAAAAAAAAGAGTCATGTTCAACTAAAGATGGGTAACCATATATGATAAATACGGCAAATATGATCAAATTGTTCACATGTCTCCTAAATGACATAATATACAAACAATTTTTTATATTTAATGTAATAAATTACAAGATTATGATAACTCAACCATATAAATAAAACAAAACGTCATGTTCACTTAAACATTTTAAGTCAAGTTGGTAACCATATATGGTAGGTATGCAAAATAAGACCAAGTTGTTCTTTCACATGTCTCCTAATAGATAGACTATGCAAAGCATCTTTTGTATTGAAAGTAATAGAGCATAATGTGATGATAAGATAACCAACTAAATAGAACAAAACATCATGTTCACCTAACCATGTAAAATCAAGTGTGGGTAACCATATATGGTAGGCATGAATAACAAGACCAAGTTGTTCTTTCACATGTCTCCTAATAGACATATTATACAAATAGGAATGATAAAACAGGCTAGGTTTGACGGGTCAACCTATCAGCTCGCCTAAAAAGTGATGGGGTGGATTAGTGATTTTAACCCACTAGCCCATTTTGACCCACCCCGCCCTGTCCCGCCCACCAATTTAGCAGTCAAGGGCGGGGCGGGTTAGTTATGTGGAATTAAACAAAAATTGTTACAATCATTAAAAATTCAATTGATTCGAAGTTAAACTCATTTAATGTTTAAACGTCTTTAGTTTTTTAAAGAAAATATATGGGTGGAATACAATGATACATCATTGTAACAAATGTATTCACCAATTTCTAGTTTCATATATGCATTACTAAATATTATCCTTATTTACATACTAAAAAATTATAGGTCCATCTTTCATTTACATAGGCATTATGGTCAAAATAAATGATTTCATACATTTGTTGGATACCAAAAATTTAACATAAAACAACCATTTAACTATATATATATATATATATATATATATATATATATATATAACAATATATATTTTCATGTATTTTAAATAATGTCATAATCATAATATTGTTATATATATATATATATTAACAATTTTAAAAAAATATTACAAGGTAAACTTTTCACTTGCACCTTTCGTATTTTATATATATATATATATATATATATATATATATATATATATATATATATATATATTTTTGGTGAACATGTATTACCTAAATAATGACAAAAACTCCTTTGATGACAATGTTAGTCGACTAACAAAATATTCAATCAAAAGAAACATTCTTGGACCAAAATTCTTATTATATTGTTAAAATAATACAATTGAAAGTCATTCAAACCTTTATATATAAATTTGGTCAAATTATATGTTGTAACACTACAAAATTTTATGTAATACATATTTACACTTATGTGTTGTAAATTAAAGGATAAACTATTAATAAACTTGAATATCATAAAATTGAATACCAACCTAATATTTATTAATAAAATAATATATAAATAAAAACAAAGTACTCAAACTATTATGTTGAGGATGACAATTATGTACTATTAATATTACTATCAAGTGATGTCATCAATGACACAAAATCAATGGTATTTAAGCTTGATAGCTACAAAGGCAAACAATTAAATAAGTTATCATGGTCAACTTTACTAACATTTTTCAATTATCAAATATTATTTCAATTTTGACAATGAAATATATAAGTAAATACATAACATATACTACATATAGATTATATAAGTCGCAAATTGAAATTCTTTACAATTGCACAATGACACTTAAAATAATATAGTAAATGGATCAAACAATCACTATAAAATAAAATAAATTTTATGGTTTACACAAACCAATATAGATGAATGATAACTTCCTATGTGAGTGTTCATTCAACTATGTCAACACGAGTTTAAATTTGAATGTTTAAATTAAATAATTCAGTTGAAGTTTCTTGAATGTTCCCCAAGAAAGAAAAAACATCTTAATTAACACTTCAATTCATGTTATCCAAAAATGTTATGTACATTGTTAATATATGTCACTTGTTCTGCAATGCAAAAATGTATTGTGAATATGTTACTTACAATATTTGTGGTTGTACTATCTATTGGCAAATATTGGGTCATATATATATATGATACATAATTTAAATGTGTTAGGGTCATTATTTATTAAGCCAAATAATAAAGTGATCTGACTAAATTAAAAAGTTTGGCTAAAGGCATATGTCATGAAAATAAAATTGTGTAGAGACCATAGAACAATTTCTAATTTGATGAGGAGCCAAATTGGAAATACTAAAACTTAAGTAATTAACCTAATTCTGGTTATTTAAAGGGTCATGGTCCCCTTCTGAGAGCACACACATAGAACGTAAGTATCAGTCCCATTCCTTTCTTTTTATCCCCATCAAGAGAGAAAATCAAGAGGAAAATACAGGTGCTCTTCAGGTGGAAGACCATAAGATCAATATAGTGCTCTACAAAGACATCATCATTATGGCTAATTCAGGTACGCTTTCCCATTCAGTTTACAGCATGTTTATCAGTATAGGATTATGTTTATGTTTGATCGTTAGAATAAAAAATCAAGATTATAGTTATTATTAATTTTCCAACAATTGGTATCAGAGCAACTCATACTTGATTCATGTTTGTCTTTGGAAATTACATTTATCAAAATTCAGATTCTATTTAATTCAGAACCCTAAGTGGAGAATAATCTCCAATTTTTGTAAACCCTAAAATCAAATTTGGGGGTTAAATTCCCAATTTTAAAACCTAATTTCGGATTGGGAATGCAATTTGGCAATTTGATTTCCAATGATGGAGATAATTAAGCGCTAGCAATAGCAATTGAGGAACGCGAGAGATAAGTAACATGAGCTCGACCACGCGTGGCTCCACCTCCTCCAATGGCCTTCTCACCAACCCACGGGCCCACCAAGGACTCCTAGCAGCAGGTCCTAAACATAAAGCCACATGGCCTTACTCAAGAGGCCTTGAATTGTTTGGATCATGAAGTTTTTTTTTTTTTTTAGCAACAGTGAGGAATAGTTTCGTGGATCTCGTGTTCGATCGTGAGAAAAGAAAACCTTGAAGCTATTGAACGAAAGGTTAACCTCAGTGAATTCTAATTCTCTATTATGAGAAGTTGTCAATTATAGATGATGTTTGTGTAATTAATTTTATGGTTTCGGTGGAGTAAAAACATCACCGCAGAAGGGGTAGTCAGGTTGTTCCCTGATGCCGAAGAGCAGGGTTAGAGGTGGAACTGGGTCAAGTTCGGATTTGGATCCGAACTCGGGAGATTGAGCTAGCGCGAAGGAGAAAGGTGTGGTCGCAGTAGTTGAGTATGGTGCAGTGGAAAACATGAAGACCCCTGATGTCCATACCTTCTTGCAGTGTCTTATGTCAGCGGTGGTTCACGCTGGTGGATGCGACTGATATACAAATAAAATATTCAATTTTTTGGTAGTTTAATATTTTTTGTGAGCAAATTGAGTCAAGATGTCACCAAAGTAGCCTCTCTTGAATTGGGTTGTTCGTGAAAAATATCGAATGGTAGTGTTTGTGTATATTCATGCGAATATTAGTCGGCCCAAAGGAAGATTAATATTTGGCCGAATTGCATACACACTTGTAATGATAAACATGTGATAATTATAAATATTTGCTTTGTCGATGATAAATCAATCCAAAGACTGGTTTGTTGTTGGACGTGCTTTATTGTCAATGTTTGATTATTACAACAAGATACCTCTAGCAGTTAATATTATTGTCCAAAGACTTGATATTGATGGTGCATTGGGTGTCTTGAGATAGGTTAAACCATTATTTAAATATATATTTTATTTATAATTATTTATTTTTATAATGTGAGCATAATTAATTTATTTCTCTTGTTCTTAATTCAACTACAATTATTTCTGTATCTGCCAATTTAAATTCTGTTCCGATCCTCAAAAGTATGTTTTCTACTTTGGTCTGTTCTGAAGTCAATTTAGCGTCGGTACCTAGTAACACTTGATGGTTAGACTCAGGTGCAACTACTAACATCAGTGTTTCTATGAAGGGTTGCCTAAGCTACCAGAAGCCAATTAATTATGAAAGATGGATATATGTTGGAGATGGCAAATCGGTAGAGGTGGAAGCTATAGGGCATTTTAAATTGTTATTGAGTACTGGTTTTTATTTGGATTTGAAAGACACTTTTGTTGTGCCGTCATATTGATGAAATTTGGTTTCAGTTTCTTATTTGGACAAATTAGGTTATTTGTGTTCATTTGGAAACAATAAGTTCAGTTTGTCTTTTAATTCAGATATTGTTGGAACTAGTTCACTTTTGCCTTATGATAATCTGTATTTACTTGATACTGTGACCACCTATAATGAAACCCTTAATACAGAATCACAGAGTACTAAACGTAAAATTGATGATACTCACTCAAGAGCATTATGGCACAGGTGCTTAGGTCACATCTCTAAAAATAGAGTTGAACGACTTGTGTTAAATGGAATCTTAGAGTCCATTGACTTCACAAACTTTGATGTTTGTGTTGAATTCATTAAGGGCAAACAGACCAGAGCGAAGATATTAGGTGCATATAGAGCTACAGACATCTTAGAGTTAATACATTCGGACATTTGTGGGTCATTTCCTACACCTTCGTAGAATGGTCAAATATACTTTATATCATTCATAGACGATTACTCACGATATGCATACTTATTTCTTATACATGAAAAATCACAATTTATGGACGTATTCAAAACATTTAAAGCTGAAGTTGAAAATCAACTCAACAAAAGAATTATGTCTGTCAGGTCTGATCGTGGTGGTGAGTACTATTGTAGATATGACAGGTCAGGTGAACAACGTCCAAGACCTTTTGCCAGGTACTTAGAGGAGTGTGGAATTGTCCCACAGTATACCATGTCAGGATCACCTAGTATGAATGGTGTAGCTGAAAGACAAAATCGGACTCTTAAAGATATGATCAGGAGTATGATTTGTCATTCCACCTTACCGGAGTCACTCTGGGGAGAGACGCTAAAGACGACAACTATATTCTAAATAGAGTACCAACTAAAGCAGCTACCAAAACACCTTGTGAGTTTTGGACTGGGCGACAGCCTAGTCTGAAGCATTTCCATGTGTGGGGATGTCTAGTTGAGGCAAGGTCTTATAAGCCAAATGAAAAGAAATTGGACTCCCGAACAGTAAGTAGTTATTTTATTAGTTATGCTGAAAGATCTAGGAGATATAAATTTTATGATCCCACATTAAAGACAAATTTTGAGACAGGAACTGCTACGTTCTTTGAGGATATTGAGTTTGGGGGGAAGAGTAAAATCAGAAAATTTGTCTTGGAGGAAGAATCGGTAATAATTCCAGAAACGATTCAAACAGTTACTTTTGATAAAGTAAGTTCGGAACCTTCACAAGGCATTGTTAATGAACCCCTTACTCAAGATGATTTGGTTATTCATGAAGAACAAACTCAAGATTCTCAAGAACCTGTGCATCATGAGCTAATAACTTTGCGGAGATCCACTAGAGAAAGAAGAAGTGCTATTTCGGATGATTACATGGTATTTCTTCAGGAACATGAGGAAAACAATGGTATGATGGAAGATGACCCAGTTAACTTCCGTCAAGTCATGCAAGGTTCTAACTCTGAAAAGTGGATTAAAGCAATGAAGGAGGAGTATAAGTCCATGCAAGATAATAAGGTTTGGGAACTTGTCCCATTACCAAAAGGTATGAAACCCATTGGTTGCAAGTGGATGTTTAAGACCAAACAGGATTCTAAAGGTAATGTGGAAAGGTATAAGGCTCGCCTGGTAGCTAAGAGCTATATCATAAAGGAAGGGATTGAATTTAAAGAGACTTTCTCTCCAATTTCATCGAAAGACTCTTTTAGGGCAATCATGACTCTTGTAGCACATTATGATTTGGAGCTTCATCAAATGGATGTCAAGACGGTGTTTCTCAATGGCAACATTGATGAGACGATTTATATGGTACAACCAGAAAATTTTGTGCAAGGAGATTCGAAGAATATGGTTTGCAAATTGACAAAATCCATTTATGGACTAAAACAAACATCTCGTAAATGGTACTATAAATTTCATCAAGTAATTCTCTTATTTGGCTTCAAGATGAATATTGTTGATGATTATGTGTATCACAAGTTTAAAGGGAGACAAGTTTAGTCTCAATCAGTGTCCAAAGGGGAATTTGGAAATTGAGGAAATGCAAAAGATTCCCTATGCATCAGTTATAGGGAGTTTGATCTATGCCCAAGTATGTACGCATCCAGACATAACATACATAGTTGGGGTTCTAGGCAAATATTTAAGCAATCCAGGAATAGACCATTGGAAAGCAGCAAAAAGGGTCATAAGATATTTAAAGAGAACAAAAGATTATATGCTCACATACAGGAGGTTAGACCAGTTGGAGATTGCTGGGTTTTCTGACTCAGATTTTGTAGGATGTCAAGAATTTGTAGCATGCTATGAGGCATCAAATCATGGAATATGGCTGAGAAATTTTGTCACAGAGCTGCAAATTGTGAAAGGCATTGAAAGACCACTTAAGTTATATTGTGACAACAAATCAGCTGTATTGTTAAGGAAAGAGTACAAAGTGGATAGATTTTCATAGAACACTTAAGGACAAACTCCATGATAGCAGATCCTCTAACTAAAGGACTTCCGCCCAGGTCTTTCATGAGCATGTTGCTCACATTGATGTTTTACAGTTTGAGGAATTTGTGGTTTAGTGGGAGTCAGTCATTTTCATATATTTTATGTTCTATGTTTAATTTCATGTATGTATACAGTGATTTTTTGGACATATTTGGTTATCTATAGATATGCGATTTTTCGTTCATTCATTACACTTTGTACATTAAGGTTATTATATCGATCTCGATAAGTTAAAGTTTGGACCAGTTGAAAATAGACGTTTACATATCACCTTCACGTAATTTTTCATGCTACACATTTCATGATGAATCCATGTCATTTGGTTATGTCATGATTAGTAATCATTGTTGGTTTTAGTTGCGATGATGCAATGAAAAGCTGGTTTGGTTCTATATCCTGATATGATCAATGGACATGACTTTTGGAGTATGCTAAAGGAATATAATGACAATTTTGAGCTTATAAAGTCTAACACATTTGTAAGGTTGTAAGGACATATATATTTGTGACCAGTGGGAGATTGTTGGCAAATATTGGGTCATGTATATATATGATACATAATTTAAATGTGTTAGGGTCATTATTTATTAAGCCAAATAATAAAGTGATCTGACTAAATTAAAAAGTTTTGCTAAAGGCATATGTCATGAAAATAAAATTGTGTAGAGACCATAGAGCAATTTCTAATTTGATGAGGGGTCAAATTGGAAATACTAAAACTTAAGTAATTAACATAATTCTGGTTATTTAAAGGGTCATGGTCCCCTTCTGAGAGCACACACACAGAACGTAAATATCAGTCCCGTTTCTTTCTTTCTATCCCCATCAAGAGAGAAAATCAAGAGGGAAATACAGGTGCTCTTTAGGTGGAAGACCGTAAGATCAATATAGTGCTCTACAAAGACATCATCATTATGGCTAATTCAGGTACGCTTTCGCATTCAGTTTACATCATGTTTATCAGTATAGGATTACGTTTATGTTTGATCGTTAGAATAAAAAATCAAGATTATAGTTATTATTAATTTTCCAACACTATCTTCTGCTCTATTTTTTTTTATTTTTTTACCTTTTTTATCTTGAAATTTTCTCACTTATTAACACCTTTCAAAATGAATGTGGTCTTCCTTTTCTTTTAACATGCAATGAGCTAGAATGTCAATGTTAACATTTTTAAGGTTTGACTTCTTTGAATATTTTGGTGTATCGTTTTTGCCAACATTAATATCTATTTGAATGTTTAAGGGTGCAAATGGATGTGTTCACCAAATTTATTCATCATTTGGTGTAATATTTTTGTCTTGTTACTTGACTCTAATGTAATTTCAACAATCTCATAAAATTTGTTGTACAATTCGTCATATTATTTACGCTATGGTTGCTTCTCCTTTACATTATACGTTATCTTCATGTAGATATGTTTTTGTCAAACAATTTTACTCCATCAAGCTAAAATGTACTTAGAATGAACATTTTTTACCCTCTCTTGAGACCAAATAATGTTGGCAAAGAATACATTTGAATTCAAATACCAAGCATGTGCAACTAACATTGTGGTCCTCTAGGTTAAAACTTACACTATATAGGTTTTCTTTATATTGTCCACCACAAATCGATTCCTCCATAACATCATAAAACCAAGAAAAGTCAAAGTTAGACACATGCACAACATTACATATCATTTTTTTTCCTCTAAATTTAGCTTGAACTTCATCAAATTTGAAATGAGTATACTCATACTAAAATCGTCTCTTTATCATATACTGTTAACTACAATTAATGATAGTGTTCATTGATGCAAAATCAATTTCATTTTTTTTTTTCAACTTTGTCTTTATTCTTTCTTACTTATATAAGACTAATTGCAGTTTCTAATTATTTTTTTTGTTCTTAATCTTTGATTTTAGTAGAGATTTATATTTTTCAAATTAAGTAGTACTAATTATGTTTTGCTGACATTTAATCTCAGCATTCTTTAACTTAATTTTGTTTTTATTAATTATGTTTCTTATGTTTTTCTATCCAACTGCCAAATCCTAGTTGATCAGGAGAAGAAACAAGATTCTAAATTTTGGAGATGGAATTAAAATAGACACATTAGATAGTTCAATTAGATTTAGTTTGTATAGTTGCATTTTAATGGGCCCACTTTTGTTTAGCTAAATAGGCCCATGTTTAGTTTTCTTCAAACATTATAAATAGCATTGTTGAATATAGAAAAAGTAGAGGAAACATACGTAGATTTCAACATATTACACTATAGATGAATTACAATTTTTAATTTCTCTCATTTTCCTTTCTGCCTTTTTACAATTATTCATTTCTTTTCTTGTCCGATTCAATATTTTGTTCTCCTTCTATGATTTTTGTTTTTAGTTTCCGATTAATCATATTCATCAATGAAGAGAATTAATCTCTAGAGGTACAGAATATTATTCATAATCGATTTAAAATTGATTCTACTTTTGAATTCTTTCGGTATTCAATTTTTAATTGAGATTTGGTTAGCTTGAATGTATGAACCGATTGGTTTTATGCTTTCCTCATAAAACAAATAACTCATTTGATTCCTTTGCATTCAAGGATGAAGAGAGTTGACCATGGTTATTGTTGATATTTTCTTACATGAAATTCTCTTTACTGTCTTTGATCATCTCGGTTCTAAATTTTGTTTTTACTTTTATTTCAATTCTAATTGGTGTCTGATTTCAATTTCAATTTCAAAATTACATTCACAATCTTAGAGTTTACTAACCCTACATTTTATGATTACTGTTTTCAATTTGAGCATTAAATATCCGATGTTATTTTCAATTTCACGATTCTCACTGTTTCTTATTGTCAAACACTATTCCAATGTTAATCTGCTCTACTTTAAATTTCCACTTGCTATTTTCTGCTTTTGATTTCAATTTTTAGGTTTTTTTAATGATTCTTAAATCAATCATGTTACATTCAATTACATTTTTTTTTTAATTCTCAATTTTTGTCTTCAGTTTAGTTAAGTATTTCTGTTTACAAAACTTTATATTTGTTTCGTTTTGATTTCCTTTTAGCTTTGTTACCATGTACACATAATTCAATTAATTTTAACTCTGCATTACAAAATTCAGTTTACAATTTTCATTATAACATTTTATGCATAGTCTTTCTAAAATACCCTAAAATTTGATTGACCTCTGTATTGAGATTGTAAAGGGGGACTTAGTTTGTTTGAAATCATGTAAGACACTGGTTGTCAAGATACCAACTTTTCTAAAAGCATGATGCAGAGGTAAAATCTAACATGCAGTTAATCAGTTACTAATTAATTAAGATATTTCCCAGAAAATATCACATTGTTATTATTATATAGAGACATCAAGAACAGTGGAGGGTGTGATATCGGAGGGGAGAGAAAAAATAAAAATAAAAATAAAAATGATAATTAAATTTTTTTAATAATATTTTATTTTAAAATAGGTTCTACTTTGATTTATTTTTCTTGTGTTGTCAAAAATTGTTTTCCAAAACGAAAATCCTATGACTTATCCAACAAAATCTTAAAAATTAAAATCTCCTCCGCATTATCGAAATCAATGATCACAGAGAATGAGTCGGAGAAGCGCTGTGAGCTATTCCTCCGTCGCTAATGTGTTCGGCGAAGCCACCTCCGATGTGCCTGGACAGGTGATTTTAGACGAGAGTAGGCGATGAGAGATTTGAGTACAGAAATTTTCAATTTGTTATTCTGTTTTTGATGTCCTAACTGTATTGTTTTTTCCCTTTCAATTTTATTTTGCGGCGGCGGCGCAGCCACGATGGAACCCAACGACGGCCTGGAACAACCAGCTCCGGCAGCTATCGAAGCAACGGCAATACGGAGAAGCGTTAACCCTGTACCGCAACATGCTTCGTTCCTCATTCTTCCCCAACTCCTTCACTTTCCCCTTCCTTCTCAAATCTTGCGCCTTTCTCTCTCTCCCTCTCACAGTTTCCCAGCTCCACGCTCATGTAATCCGAACCGGATCGGAGCCCGACCCGTATACCCGCTCCTCCCTCATCAATACTTATTCCAAATGCTCCCTCCCCCACCATGCGCGCAAGGTTTTCGATGAAATGCCAAACCCCACCATTTGCTACAACGCAATGATCTCTGGCTATTCCTTCAACTCCAACCCTCTTGACGCTGTCTGGTTGTTCCGTCAAATGCGGAGGGAGGAGGAGGACGGGTTGGACGTTAATGATAACGTTAGTGTGAACGCCGTTACAATGTTGAGTTTGGTTTGTGGGTGCTCCGTGGCTACCCATTTGAAAATTGGCGCGTGCATTCACGGGTGTGTTGTTAGGTTTGGGTTTTTGACCGATTTGGCTGTGGCGAATAGTTTGGTCACCATGTATGGTAAATGTGGGGAGGTTGAATATGCACGCCAAATTTTTGACGAAATGTTTGTAAGGGATTTGATTACTTGGAATGCAATGATTTCTGGGTACTCGCAAAACGGGCATGCTAGGAGTGTTTTGGAGGTATATAGCAAGATGAAGTTGAGTGGGGTGAGTGTTGATGCTGTTACCCTTCTTGGGGTTCTGTCGGCTTGTGCGAACCTTGGAGCACAAGGGATTGGTCGTGAGGTGGAGCGCGAGGTTGAGCGGCATGGTTTTGGTTCTAATCCGTTTTTGAGGAATGCGCTTGTGAATATGTATGCTAGGTGTGGCAACATGACTCAGGCGCGCAGGGTTTTTGATTGCTCGGGGGAGAAGAGTGTGGTTTCATGGACGGCAATCATTGGTGGGTATGGGATCCATGGCCATGGGGAGGTTGCGATAGAGCTTTTTGATAAGATGGTTGAGTCAGGTGTTAGGCCGGATCAGGCTGTATTTGTGAGTGTTCTTTCAGCGTGCAGCCATGCCGGCTTAACTGATAGGGGTTTGGAGTATTTTGAAGACATGAAGATGAAGTATGGTTTGCAGCCTGGTCCGGAGCACTACTCTTGTGTGGTGGATCTATTAGGCCGGGCTGGTAGGTTGGAGGAGGCTATGGATCTCATAAGGTCAATGAAGGTGAAACCTGATGGTGCTGTTTGGGGTGCCCTTCTTGGTGCTTGCAAGATTCATAAGAATGTGGGGCTCGCTGAGTTGGCTTTTCAGCATGTTGTGGAGCTTGAACCCATGAATATAGGTTACTATGTTTTGTTGTCGAATATATACACCGATGCTAACAACTTAGAGGGGGTTTTAAGAGTTAGGGTCATGATGAGGGAAAGAAAGCTTAGGAAGGATCCAGGATACAGCTATGTGGATTATAAGGGAAAAATGTACGTTTTTTACTCGGGGGATTTGAGTCATCCCCAATGTAAGGAAATATATAGGATGTTAGATGAATTGGAAAATCTTGTGAATGAGATTCATCCATCAGATGAGAAATGTCAAGGAAGAAGTGAAGAACTTTTAATTGGTACAGGGGTGCACAGTGAAAAATTGGCAATTGCATTTGCTCTCTTGAACACTAAGAGTGGAACAGATATTACTGTCATGAAAAACTTGCGAGTGTGTCTGGATTGTCATTTGTTTATTAAGTTAGTTAGCAAGATTGTCAATCGCCAATTTATTGTTAGGGATGCCACTCGCTTTCACCATTTCAGAGACGGAATCTGCTCATGCAAGGATTACTGGTGAAATCAATGCAGCACTATTTATGTGGTTTTTGATGGTACACAGTGATGTCTGACCTCACCTAGCTAGGTGATTGTTGCTGTTGGTGAGTTAGGATAATGAACCCATGTTGAGAAATTCTATAAATATGCATGACATGGTCATTTAGGGAAAAACAATAAATTGTGAATCTTATCAGAGCTTGGAGAAGAAAGATTGCAACTGTGGTACAGGATGTCCAATGTTTAAAAGAGGACGAAGGATAATCTAGGAATTCAAGGTTTAGATTTTGAAATTTTTTATGGTGGTAAGTCCTCCGAAGGAGGTGACTGCCTTTTTTTTCCGACATGATAAACAGTTCAGTATTTTTTATTAGAAACAGATCTATAGTCTTCTTCCTTCAATCCATGAAGTTTTTAATCCATCTCCACCTTCATGCCCTTCTTTTTTGGCTCTTCTGATTTGTCAAATATTACAGGGCAGGGCAGCAGATGTTGCCATGTGTGCCATGTTACAAATATCCATAAATAAGACGTTGAAGGAGCTTGTATGGAAGTTACTTCTACAAGTTAGTATTTATGTCTAGAATTTTCTCCTTTTTATTTCGGGGTTCAAGTATGTTCACATGGGGTTTGATTTTAATAATTTTTTTTTTTTTTTTCACTTTTGGGAGAACAGGGCCGGAAGTGCCTGTCGAAACCAGAAATGAAATTTATATAGATCAATCTGAAGATTTTATAGAATTATGAAAAGAAAAAAAATGCAAACTTGTTAAATCTTTATATGATTTAAAACAAGCGTCAAACAATAGCATAAAAGATTTGATCGTTATTTTTTTATACGGTTTTCATACCAATTTGGATGTTATAAAATAAGTTAAAAGTTTCTTGTCTAGTAATTTTTTGACATGAAGGAGCTTGTTACAATCGATATAATATGAAGTGTTTATAATAAAGAAAGATGATGACCTTATTTTATCTCAATCACATTATGTATAGAATTTTTTTAAAGAAATTTAATTATTTTGAAGTGAAACAAGTTTTCACACCATGACTCATCTATTAAATTAAGGAAAATTTAAGTGAATGCTTCTTTTCTCATATTACATTTAACAAATTTTCTAGACCTAATATTGCATATGTAGTTGGTAAACTAGGAAAATATACTCATAATCCTAATCATTCTCATTGGAATGCATTAGAAAAGGTGTTTAAATACTTAAAAGAAATTATTAATTATGACATTCATTATACACAATTTCCTAATTGAGGGATTTAATGATGCAGATTTAATTTGTGATAGTCAAAGTTACTATATCTAAAGTTTTTAGCAAAAATTTTAATGAAAAAAAAGAGAGCATTGAGAGTGAGACATAAATGTATGACAAATTTGATTTCTCATAATACCTTTTTTTTTTTTACTTTATCATATAAGAAAGACAGGTACGGACCCCGTCTACCAAAAGGTTGACACATCAACAAATATATTTTGAATAGACACGGAAAATGTAATTAAACTCCATCAACTAAGTTACAATGATAGAAAACCAACTCCAATGGAATGTCAATCTCATGAATGAAATTTAATAGGTAATAACTAAGTTATTGTTGACTAAAGTACATCATCAAATTTGAGTAAATTTTATATCACATTGTTACTCTAAGATGTACTCTAAATTGTGGTAATATCAATGTTGAGATATATGTATCATTATATTTAAAATATCTCTTAATAAATCCAATGATATTTATTATAAGGGTGTGAGTCACAAATCACTCTTTTAAGGGTTCACCTAGTGAGTGTGATGGTGGGGTTACTATTGTGAGATATGAATAAATCTTTAATTGATAATTATGAATCAAAAACTTAAGAGAATACCTATATTGTATGTGTTATGTACTTAAATTCAGTCAAGAAAATGTAACTAAAGATTATTATGTCTTTACATTTTTCTTGGGTAAAAGTTTATATAAAGGAGTTACAAAGTTCAAACTTCGAAGATTTCTTAAGCTGAAGTACAACACTATTTTTTAAATTATATTCCACAGGTATTTCATTTTATTTTAAATTATGTGGGAGAGTATTGAAAATATATTTTTATAATTATAAAATTTCTTTTTATTTTTATAAAATTATACAAGTCAAAGCCTACACATATGTACTTGCATCATGTACATGTACTAGCTTATATTTTGTTGATAGTGTGCAACTACATGCTGTAGATATTTTTGGTATGTACTTTCTAAATTTTTGGTGTATACCTTGATTTGTGGGGATCCAAGTGCAACAGACATGCAACCATTGAGAACAAAACACTAAAATGCAATTTTACATTCATAAAATCTACTTTTATAATCATTCAATACATAGTGTTTTAGTTTTCATAAAGTTTGGAAATCTTTCATTACATTGAATTGATTTTCTAGGTGTTGTTGTATCTTTAGGAGAGGAGTACAAACTATTCATTCTACAATACAGTGGAGGCTTTTTCTCTCTAATGACAGCTTTCTAGGTGTTTCATCCCAAGTTATTTTTAATTTCTTCTTCATTAATATTTTATCTATCCTTTATTATAAATATAGTTTGAGTTAATTTATATTATTCTAACCTTCTATCTAATAGAAAGTTTAACTCAAATAATATTTATAATAATAATTATAAAAATAGATAAAATATTACTAAAAATGTTAGAAAATACAAATGTGACTCTAAGTCTCACATTATATTATAATGAGAAAGTTAAGCAACATATAAAGAAAGTATAACTCATAATCTCTTGTGTGGGTTGGACTCATGTCTCATTGATATTGTTCTCCCCAGGGAATCCCCTTAAAAGATCCAACACCATTGCAATCATATATGTCACTATAAATTAATTTCTTTTTCCATATATCTATAAGAAAGTTTTCTAGTTTGTTTTTCTTAAATGCATGTTTCATATTTTTGTTTTAAATCAAACTCCATTTAAAATGAGAAAATTTGTAGAAGTCAATTTTAACTTCACTTAACCCTCTCCTAAAACACATGTCATGGTCTCATTCCCCATACTCATAATACGTGTGCTTGATTCCTGATATACAGAAAATATTTGTTATCGGCACCTTGAGTCTATAAACTAGTCATTTGAGTTAAAAACATAATTTAACTCAGGGCTACTAACATGGTACCTGTCAGCAGTGGTGGATCTTCTTGGGAGCTTAGGGGTCGTGGCCCCAAAGTTTTGTAACTCCCATGTAATTTATGATTTTAACCCCCAAAACTTAATGAACATTTAATATATTTACTTTTATATTTATAATTTTATACTTTCAGCCCCTCCTCTGTTTTGTAACTCTCATATAATTTATGATTTTTGTCCCCTTCAAACTTAATGATCATTTAATATATTTAAGTATATATCTACATTTTTATCCTTTCACATTTTCATCTTCTTTCTTCCTTTTATATTTATTTATTATTTATTAATAATATATTATTGGTCCCCTCAAGATTAATGGTCAAGATCCGTCCTGTGAGATGCAGGATCAAAGATAGCACCACCATTAACATTAGTCTCAGGTTTAGAGATAGATGTAGGTTGATGATGACGTTGAAAGCAATTTTTATCCTTTGATTTATTGTTATTCTAAGAAACATTGTTTTTCATTTTAAAAAAGGAAGAATATTTTCCAAACTTATTTTTCTTAAAATCATGCCTTTTAAAAAAAATTGAATTAAGCTTATTAGAATTCTAAACCACATAAGACTTAAACTTAGATTCAGACATGTTTTGTCAGAAAAACGATGACACATAAGTAAACCATCAAAAGAAAAATTTTCAAATTTATGTTTTAAACTTGGAGCACAATCATACCATGAAAGAGACAACTTCGAAATCATAAAAATTACTTGCATGATCAGTGGTAGATCTTGACCATTAATCTTGGAGGGGCCAAATAATATATTATTAATAAATAATAAATAAATATAAAATGAAGTAAGAAGATGAAAGGGTGAAAGAATAAAATTGTAAATATATACTTAAATATATAAAATGATCATTAAGTTTGAGGGTGACAAAATCATAAATTATACGAGAGTTACAAAAATAAGGAGGTCTTGAGAGGATAAAATTGTAAATATACAAGTAAATATATTAAATGTTCATTAAATTTGAGGGGGCCAAAATAATAAATTACATAGAAGTTACAAAATTTTGGGAGGGTCACGACCCCACTCAGCTTCCAAGAAGATCCGCTACTGTGCATGATGTTACATAAAACAATTCCCTTCAATTTCATATCATAGACAATATTTTAGAATTCATGAATATGATCAACAGATTTATTATCAACCATTTGAAACTCAATCACTTTTTCACATGAATATCTCTCTTAAATCCTTTTCAGCAGACCCATATTTTAATTCAAATGCCTCCCACAACTCTACAGTACGCTTAGTATGACAAAATATTTTATAATTACTATCTCACAAAAAACTTAACATACGTCCATGACATAAAATATGTTCATTAGAAATATTAAGCTTAGTGGTAGAAGAATTTGTAATAGAAGAATCAGTAGCTCTAGTTTTAGTTTTAGTGATCACAAAAAATAAACCTAGTTCAATAGCCAAAATTTCATTTATTGTTTTCAATAGAAGAAATTTTTTCACCCCTAATAATATTATTTCTGACTTTCCAAAAAGAATAAGAATGTTTATAACAATAATTAATATAAGTGAAAGTTAAAGTTAAAGCAGCTAGAGAATGGTTTACATAGAAGTGTTAGAATGGTTGCATATCTATTGACTTGAATTGCCGCAAATCAAGGCACGCATAAAAAATATCTACATTATTAAAAGTAGTTGTGCATGTTCAACAAAATATCAAGCTAACATGGCATAGTGCAAGTACATGTGCATAGGTATAGGTTTTTACTTTATAAATTTATAATAATAAATAAAGGAAGAACTTTTTTCCAAACTTATTTTTCCTAAAACCATGTCTTTTGAAAGATTTTAAATTAAGCTTATTAGAATTCTCAACAAGATAAGTGTTAGAATTAGACTGAGTTTTCCACATGTTTTTGAGAAAAACGATGTTTTTCCTCAATACAAAGACTCACAAGTAAATCATTAAAAGAAAAATTTTCAGGTTTACGTTTTAAACTTGGAGCATAATCAGATCATGAAGGAGATAACTGAGATCTTAAAAGCTACTAGCATTATGCCAGGTAAAACAATTCCCTCTAATTTTATATCATAGACAATATTTTCAAATTCATGAATTAATCTCATCAGAATATATTTAAAACTCAATCATTTTTTCACATGAATATCAGTTTAAACCCTTCTCAGCAAATCCATATTTTAATTCAAGTGCTTCCCACCACACTTTATAACAGTTTTAGTAAGACAAAATATTTTATAAATATTATCACAACAACACGAAGCACTTAAGATACGTCCATGACATAAAATATCTTTATCAGAAACATCATGCTTAGTGGTTGAAGAATTTGTATCATCACTTAATATAATAGAAGAATTAATAACTCTAGTTTCAGTTTTAGTCATCTCAGCAAATAAACCTAGTTCCACGAGACA